GGTGCCGGCCTGCAACATTGCATAAGTGCCGTGCGTCCAGGGGCTTCCAAGCAGTGCGATGTTGTTTGCCTGTTGGGTGTTCGGACTGAAGCCATGCTGCGACCTCTCTTGTGGCGGCCGGGGCCGCATGACCGTTGGAGCGATATCTGTGGGCTAACACTGCCGCTAGTCGATGTTTCGTGAGAAGTTCCGGGGGCGCTTGGTTCGACAAGACCGCAACGCTTCTCAAAGGGGCTTCCAATGTCCAGTAGGCGTAGGTGCAGCGTAATGACCGATTTATACATTAGTTCAAGTTGCTTCGAGTAATAGGTGTGCTAAAGGCGAGTGACGTTGGCGCTCCACGAAGGCTTGGAATAATGCTATAGTTCTTTCCGGTCTAGCGTTCCCTAGTTCTTAACCCGGGGGGTGCGTATTGAGGTAAGGTTTCATGAGGTGCGGCATGTGATTACTATCAGTGGCCCGTGCTTGTGTTCGGAAGATGTATTTCTTTGTGTTGGGGGCCCGTAAGTGTCGAGATCGCTTAAACGACACGGGGGGGTGTTGTGGAGACGCGGAAAATGAACTATGGGATTGGGTAGTTTCGAAGGACGGCCGACGGGGTTCGGTCCAGGATTGTGGACAATAAAAGCCATCGAGTCAATCGGAGGCTTGTAGGTGAGTACGAGCAGAAAGCTTTCTGTTGTGTGGTTGCCGGGTAGGTGAAAGGTACCTCGCTTTGACGGGAAATGGGGGTAGCCTGGAGAGTAACATTATAACTGACCCGCCGGCGTTATCTACCCCGTAGTTCCCCAACAAAAAAGGGCCTAGTCGTAGAAGAGAGGATTGAGAGAGGGATGAAGGAGATAGGAGGAAAAAAGGATCGACGTGGCAACGAACGAAACAGCGTTCGATAATTTGTTGGATGACATCGTTCATGCACAGGGGTCGTCAAGTGGTCGGCATTTTGGGATCGTACATGGGGAGGGGGGAAGAAATTTGAGATAATAGTGTAAATTGCTAGAATATGATACAAGTTGGCTTGTGTTTGATGTATAAATTCAAGATGTTGCTGTAGAGCGGTAGGGTACTGATGCAGGAATCAGCTGAAAGTCGTTCATCCTTCGGACCTTGCCGCGGTCGCGCTAGGCGGCGCCAGGCATGTTCCTGCCTGTCACCCGCCCGGGTAACGGAAAGCATGAAGCGAGAGGGGGATGCAACGACGGGGAAAAGGGCCACGAAATACTCGCGTGTGTGAGATGAAGTGAAATTAGGTCGTTCAGTAAGCTATAGTAGGACTTAAGAGATAGCTAGAGGGAGTAAAACAAGCCAAAGCGAGTTGGTGGTGGTTATGGGATAGAGAAGAAAGTCTGAGGGGGCAGAGTGACGGCATAAGCCGAATTGAATTGCTGGGCGCAAAGGTTTTTGAGGCAAGCTAGCGACCACCACGCTACTTGGCCGTATGCGTTATCTAGGGTTTCTGTCGGGCGCCGTCGATGATGGGTGGGACGGTGGGGATCTGGTGTTACGTAGGCGGGAAGGGATAGAGACGGTAGAGGAGTCCAGGTGGGGGTAAGTTGGGTAGAGTGCGGGGATAAGGGTACGCGCTAGAGAGCTTGTGCGGGAGCTGCGGTTAGGCAGACATGGTTGAGACCTAGTGGTGGGGAGTGGTGATGTCGTTTTGGAGGTGGTGCGCTTCGCGGGTGGACGGTTGAGGGGAGAACACGGGGGTCAGCCGACCCGGGGGACTGTCTCGGGTGGGCTGGCGATTCAGGGTTCGCTATCCTGTCCGCCTTTTTTGTCCACGTTGAGAATGGGGGACGGGGTGACGGGCTGGAGTGCTTCAGCGGTGCACAGCCCATGTGGTCACTCTCAGGGAGGTCGATAAGTGTATCATACGCATAGACAGATTTGACATGCATTACGGATTACATTACACGAATGAAAAAATTTGTTGACGAGGAAGTGTAAGAAATACAGAAAACTGTCAGGGTTTCACCAGCAATATATACACTATATATAGCAGTTCTCTACTACATGATCATGTGTCATGGTGTGATGGGTAGAAGGAAAGGAGGAAAAATAGTATATAGAGGAAAGGAATGTTGTGGCCAAACATCTGCCTCAATTCTTGAAACTCCGGTCACTTGAGGAATCCAGTTTTTGCATCTACCTTCCTTCAGTACTCACGGTTCTCAGGAGTTTATCATGCCACAACTCGTGTCTGAGTCACTATGCTGTACATTTCCCCTTAATTCTGGTTTTCTGTCGGGTCTTACACTGTACATCATGTCGGGGTGGGGGAGATGAATAGTTAAATTCGAGGTGGTCTCTCTTTTGTTTACTGATATATACTGTAGTCATTGAGTAGCAAAATTGAAAGTTTATGGATGCCTAAATATAGTATATACTGTATTCATGAGTGCAATTAAAAGTACTCGGAGATAAATATTAGTAATACTGTATTCATGAGTGCACAATTGAAAGCATACTCGGAGACCACCACAACCACCCCCCCTAAATATAGTATATACTGTATTCATGAGTGCAAATTGAAGTCTCGGAAGTAACAAATATAAATATATACGTATTCTGAGTGCAAAATTGAAAGACACGGAGCTAAATACAAAATATACTGTATTCATGAGTGCAAACACCTGAAAATACTCGGAGCTAAATATAGTAATACCCTAATACTGTGTATACAAAAATTTATTACTTTAACGTTTTGTTGACCATGAGCTGTAATGTAAACTTTCTAGAGCTGTAAATAATACTTGTCTCTTCACCTCCCACAGGAGACGGAGACCAACTCCAGACATTCACGAAACTCACGCCTCCACCTGGCCACCTCTCTCTACCTACAAAGCCTCCTGGGGAGTGGTGCGGACGAGGCCGAGGTCAAAAGAAGGTGAAAGTGACCACACTCACAGAATCATGCTGAACACGAGCTGTTCCACAAGGCTCTGTTCTCTCCCTCAGCACCGAGATGTCTCTTCTCTTACACTCACACAGAAGTACATACGCACGTATATTGCTTGTTCTGTATATGTAGCTAAACCCTGTAGCATAGACATAAATGGGTGAAAGAATGGTAGAAAACACACAGCCAAAAAAAACACACACCCACAAAAAAACACACAGGCCAGAATGGAAAGCGAAGCGAAACCAACTGCATCTCTGAAAACTGAATCTGCCAAACACAGTAATGGAGAAGACTATCTTTGTCTGGCAGTGTAGCTCCATTGTGTTCATTTCTCTAGTCACAAAGATGCCCAAAAGAAGTTGAGGAAGAGAGAAGACGAGAGAGTGATCGGGAATGGAAAGAGAGTGGAAGCCGCGAGAGCACAGATTTAAACGAGCGCAGAGGTGAAAAGGGAGAAGAAGAGAAGAAGGGTAAACATGCGATAGAAAGGACACGAGAGGAGAACGGGATAGAGAAAATAGGAGGAAAGACGATGACAGACAGAGCAGAACCAAAAAAGAGGAAGAAAGAGAGAGAAAATCGAGGGTGGCAAAAATGGCCAAAGGTGTGTCTGGTGTGTAGCTACATATTGTGTGGAAGGACTCCATTTTGACATCTGAAAAATTATCGGCATTTTATAGCTAGGTCTGTTTCATTTTGTCCAAATATCGCTAATTTACCACCACCACGATATGGGAGGAGAAGAGAATGTTGCTACAACTACATTACATAGTACTATATGAACACTCTCTGTAGTTGGCATGTGGGAGTGAGACAATCTAGAGTATTGTAGTTGTCCCAATGAGCTTTTTGCCAATAATTATATATATGCCTAGGGTGGCCGACATAAGTACATACATACGTAGTATGACCTAATACTACATCTAATAAAAAGTTTGGTTGCTCCTGCCCCAAAAATAGTTGAATGTTCATCAACAGTGGAAACTGACACATGGACAGAAGAAGAAGTGAATATCAGTAAGGTGTGTATTATTTCGAGAGAGGTGTCCTCATTCAGGGTCTTTCCTTGTCCACTGTAGTATCCTAGTCCTCTAAAACATTTAGGGAGTACGGTCAACATTACCTACTCTCCGTCCCTTTAAAGAGACGTGTGTTCTGACACTAATTAGGTACAGTGGAGTTCGTGAAAGAAAGGGCGAAGGGAGAGGGGAATAGAGAATGTGGAACACTCCCAATAAAGGACACGTGGCTATCACGAAAACACGAGGGTGCTCTTTATCAAGAGCACAGGCTACTGAGTTAAACAGAGCGGTTCTTTAGTATTAATTGACACTTCGTTCCTGTTGCGTTGACAATCTTGTGCACATACAGATACTTGTCGTATGTAAGACTTGTGCCCTACCAACCACAATTTGACTATATTATTGTTACTGTGGGTTATTGCAGGGTGTTCTCCCCTAGGGTTCTGGGTTGGTTTCTGTTTGAAGTGAGTTGGCTATCAGTTCACAAGGTGATTGAGGTGGCCCCATAAAGGTGGAGACCAATTTACCGCGCAGCATTATAAAACACCTCCAACGGGGTCAGTATGTAGATACAGACTATATAGTATCTGTAACTTGTTGCTAGGGAGGAGTAGTTGAGTTAGCACGGGAAGTGATGATATCTTGTGTATCCTGTGGGGCGGTGTTTGAGGAGAACAGTTCATGGTGGGAAACCTAGCACTAACACTTAAGAAGCAATTCTTGCATGGACGGATTATGGAGGTCGCCATACAAATGGCGCGCAGAGAGACTGAGAACATTCACCTGGTCATTGATTTGTGCCAATTGGCTCCTACTGTGCCGTTGTTTTGTACCCACCCGTGTGTCAGTCACGGTCATTGCGAAGAACGGGAGAGCCGTCATACACTGTCCACGCAGCGCACGCTGCTCTTCAGTGAAGGGGCACCTTAGTTAACAGGCCTCCATGCAACCGGAGGCTGTTCTGAAAGCCGATCATGGCCCAGCACGGGAAGAATAATCAGATACATGCGTAGCGAAGTGGGGGAGGGGAAGCGAGAGCAAAAAGATGGGAAGCCAAGAGAGCACGCGAGAGCGGGAGCAACGCCGAGAGGAAGAAAGAAGGAAAAATGGATAGGAAGCAGGAAGAGGAATGCGGGCAGAAAGAGATGACGAAATTTTTTGGATTTAGTTGGTTTGGGGAAAAGTCAAGAGGATGACGTAAAACCCGGAAGACGGAACAAGAGAGAAGGAGGGGGTAAAGGCGGAAAAAGAAACGGATGGAAAGTAGGAGCGGAAGGGACCGTACTGATGGGAAAAGCCGACATTATATGTGCAAGAAATGTACTACATATCCTAATGTAACGACGACGAGCTGTGCTGTCATAATAGCACAGAGTATTTTAACTGGCTGAGGGAGAGATCTGCAAGTTTCTGTCTTGTCGAATAATATGCCAACTTATAAAGGAAAAAAGAAGAACTAACTGCACTGCTGTACATGTCTGACTACTGTGGTGTGTCTGTCTGTAGGTGGAGGAGAAGTACTGGACTACCTCGGATGGACCAGTCGACTCTCCCCTCTACGATGCCACGAGGCTTGCTGGCTCCGCCTCCTCCTTTGAGGACGGCTCTTCCCCCGCCCCACGCAGGGGGCATGGCCCACACCCCTGTACACCAACCCACTCCAGAGTTGCTTCGCTCTCGCAGGGCTCAGGGGTGAGACTCGGACTAGTTGTGAGGTTGATCACATTTTAGATACCGTGCCATATGTAGGGGGAATGGGTTCTTGTTGTAACGAAAAAAGAATATTGCTTTATGCTAAATAGAGTAGAGGAATCGTTTTTGTAAAGACCCTGAAAGAAAAAAAAAAACATTTCACCAACATATATGTATACAGGGATCCTATGTCGAGCCATTTAATGAGCCTAATGGTATTAGTGCATGTGTGCAGTGTTGGTGGAAACCACGTCCCGAGCCGTACTTCATCTTCCTGGGCCGAGTGCAGGTTTGTGGGCGGCGAACACTTTTCATGTTTTCTTTCATTTTCGGTGTGGTTGTGCTCTCTCGCTCTACGTGGTTGATTACCTTGTGTACTCTTGCGTTTGTGTGCCACTAGGTGCAGGCATCACCATAGCACCTTTTCTCCAGGAAGCAGCTGGTCTACACAAGCTCCTGCCCGGACGCCAACTATTCTCCCCTTCCTCCGACCACCTCCTCAAGAAGACACCAGGGAAGCTAGAGGCGCTTGCGAGATGGACACCACTAGATACCCATCCCCATGCCCCAAGCCTGCAGTAGCTCCTCGGGAGGGACCAGCGGTATGTTGGTGGAGTGGGAGGAGGGACGGTGACAGTCACTCTACTCAGGGGGACTATCTCCACGCGCAGCATAGTAGCATCAGTCAGCAGATCCAGGGGGCAATTTCGCCAGGACATTCCCCATCATCAGGAGGTTTAGCCGGGGAGGTTGACCCGGAATCTCCGCTGCGGTTGGCGAGAGCGATGCATGGCGTCTGCGGGACCCAGACGGAGGTCGGCCTGTCGTCAACCTCGTCGGGCATCCTCCCAGCACTCTCTCAATGGCCGGTCTACTGTCTCCTGGCAGAAAAAGAAACTAGTCTCGGCCATCGCTCAGCTGCAGAGCTGGTTCTACCTTGTGACTAGTGGCTTGTAGGCGTAATGGCGATTCTTGGAAAACAACAGGTGTTCTTTTTCCTTGACACATTTCTTTGGTATTGTCGCTATAGCCAAGTTTACACTCGTGTAAGTAGTAAATGGAGTAGAGTCAGTTGGTGAGATGTCGGGCAGGCAGTGTACATGTGCATGTACTGTGGTACAGGGTGTTGTACATGTAGTTGACTTGTTGTTTGCCTATATATTGTACTCATTATTGACACAAGTTTACTCTGTTCTACAGGCTGTAACTCAGTCTGTATCATCTGGAGGGAAGCAGCCCGACTGATTAGTCCCGGCATCTCGCTGCCCCTCAATCTTCATCCCTCTCCTCCTCCTCCATCCCCTTCTCCTCCCATCCCCAGTTGTCTCCATCACACCCTCACCATCCAAGACGCACGGCAACAAACAAGGCTCCGCCCACTCTCACATCTCCACCCCCTCACCCTCACCAAATCCTCGAGCCCCCCTCGTCCCAAGACAACGCACCTGGCCCTGTTCTGACAGGAGGGTATATGGACAAGGTGCACCTGAGATCAAGACCTGTGTGTGAGAGGCTGTGACCAGACCGCGCTCGAGACCTTCCATCCAGAGTGAGACGCTCTATATATCGGTCTCTCTCTCTATCTATCTCTCTCGTCTCTCTCTGTCGTGTCTACTGGCTGCTTTGCAGTAGTAGAAATGCTCTAGAAGGACCATGTAATATTATGGGACCGCGTTATGTAGGAGATGGGATTTGTATGTAGACGCATGTGCTAACAGACGAGAGAGAGGAGAGAGAGAGAGAGAGACCATGTCAGCTATGCGCACATGGGTGGCATGGTTTCAGTACGTTCTAATACGAAGATGCATGCAGCCATGATTCCCTTTCCTTACGTAGCAACTGGAATGGAGAGAGTGTGTCTATCAGTCTCCGCACTAATTGATTTCCACATGGGCGGTCTCAGTTATACAACCAATACTTGGAGGTTACGCCGACCGGCATGTCGGTAAAGACTTTGGATTATTCCCATACAGATGTGACGCTCTCATCTCTGCGTTACCACGCAGAGGGTGGCTTCCCCCAGTAGACCACTTTTGTCTGAATGGACTCATCCTGAGTTCAAAGCTATGAGAGCGTTAGTTACCGGGCACTTCTCATAGACCATCGGTGGAGTAATGCACACGTTATGCAGTCGTGATTACGCAATTTAATGGATAAAGGAAGTAATAAACTAGAAGTTGAAACCTATGTGTGTTAAATAATGCGTACTAGAAGTGTCATACGTGCCAGGTAATCCGACGTATAGTAGCAGTAGGTGGGCACCCTTGCTCTAAAGCATAATCAAACTGATGTTACTTCTCTATCTATTCCCACGATCCGTAGGGTGTGGACGTGTTTTGAGTACGCCATGCTCCAGGCCCCTGACCTGATGAGGGACAGACACCTGGATCAGATCATCATGTGCTGTATCTATGTCATGGCCAAGGTCATGCGGCTCGACATCACCTTCCAGGAGATCATGAGGCAGTACCGCCACCAACCGCAGGCCAAGAGCCACGTAAGTCACTCCTCCCAACACACTCCGGCTACTGCACCATCAGTTGCCCTGTGCTGTTGAAATAATTATGTTTGTAATTGTGCCATATTATTGCAAGGTTTTGGTACCAATTGAAATTGGATGTGTCATCTATATATGTAGTTGATATGTAACACTGACTTCTCATGGTGAATGTACACTGTGTTAACTATGGAGCATTGTGCAAAGTCTTTAAGTATGTTATGTTCAATGTGGAGATCGTAGGGCCAAGCATTTACGCAATCAACAACACAGCCACCTCCAAGGACAACTTCTTAGACAAAAGAGCTGCCCTGGGTGGACGATTTCTCCACATCTTATTGTGTGTCTCTGTGATCTCTGTGTAGTACCATTGCCACAAAGTGATTACAGAGCGGTGATGGAAAGTCTTGTGGAATTGTAGCTCAGTGTGTCTGTTGTAGATACATACATCTTGTGATCTCTACCTTGTGATCAACAAAGCAGTCACCTTTTGGTATTTGTATATATATACCTCAGCATTGCCTACACAAATCTGTTTTGCCTGCTTGCATGTCCTCCCTGAAACCACAACCTTGTACACACCTATACCCAAGATGGAACCGGAACTGAGTCACTGAGAATGCAGACACATTGCACATCAATCAAGGGTTAAAGGGTTATGCTTGCTCTCAATCAAGACCAGACACAAATTGAATTTTTACAGCTGTATTATGTCATGTATCTGTATTTTTGTTGTATATGTGCATATATAGATCTATCGGAGTGTGTTGTTGAACAATGGTCCTCGTCAGCGACCTCAACCGGACTCCAGCAGTTTCTCTGCCCCTGTTCCCGATGAGGCCAGGAGAGAGGGAGGAGGAAGTGGGGGAGGGGAGGACACAAGTCGTCCGTCCTCCACGACCCCAGGAACCCCTCTGGACCAGCTCCTGTATCGACCGGACATCGAGGTGGGGGCAAGAGGTGACATCATCATGTTCTACAACAAGGTCTTCATCTCCCTCATCAAGGGCTACGCCCTGCGCTTCACTCCGGGGGATAACGAGGTGAACACCCTATAATTATCTTGTATCTGTGTGACTAAAACGTTTGCGAATTGTGTGAAATCACGAGAGTAGTCAACTATTTTGGTGATCTTTTATGACGTAAAGTTGCAATTCATGAAGTTGCTTACTTGCTGTATACAGTGCCTGGAAATAATGAACCTATGTTTGAGTTTGTGACTACTTGGCAATTGCCATGCCAAGATTTGCAGCTGCATGCAGTATGTACTACATGAGAATACCGCCAAAGTTAAAGTTTAAGAGCACCGTTTCAAACAAATCACAGATATTAATGCAATGTTACAATGGCATACACGTCAATGTGCGTACGTGCGTGTGTTGTGCATGGTGGGAAAGTGGCCACTGTTAGAGAGGGTGCTAGACGTACCAAACTGTGCCTGCCCAACAGATCAAAGCGAGACTATTGCGGGTAGGCACTGGGATGTATATACGTGTTTTGCTGAGGGATGTTGACCTGCAGCCAGCCCTGCCAGCCCCCAACATCAACAGCCCTGGCCCGTTCTCCTTGTACCTTAATGGCACACACTGTGAGATGTGTGCCCAGATGTAAACAACACGTGCTTTCACTTTGTTCACACAATATACCGCCCTCCCTGCCACCTGTCCCCAGGCTCCGACCCTCTCCCCACTCCCCACCATCAGGAAGGCCTCTCCGTCTCCTCGCAGACTCTCTCAGAGACACTCCATCTTTGTCTCTCCACACACACGTGAGTGCACATTCACAACACCATACGTTGATAAAAACAGATTATTGGAGCTGACAGAGGCACGAAAACCCACGGATCCAGTAGACAACTTGCTGGTTTCAATCTTGACTCAATCATTTGATAGCCCACACATTCTACGTCTGCTCGGAAAAAAGCACAGTTGAAGGCCATTTCTTGTTCTTACCACTGCAGCCAGCTCCCTGCAGTTGTCTCCTCATGCCAAGAAGTTTGTGGTCCAGAGGAGCCCGGCAGCAGTGAGTATCATTATGCATCCCATCCAGGCATGATATACTGATCTATACCAACTGTATACCAACAGTATACCAACACTATACCAGTGCACATCATGTGATGGAATGACATGAACATCTAGACTAGGAATTTTTCAAAGACCATCTTTAGCAAAGTCTGAACAATATGAAGCCGTACAGTAATTGTACACACACGTGAGCTTCCCTCTTGGTTATATAAAACCTCACATCCACGGTTTTTTTTGCATTTCGCAGGAACACACCTAACGATTTAATTAACCCCTATACCCCATACTGAAGAATATCACTTCCTGGATTGAGATGCCGCGTGTACAAATATGGCACTAGTGTACATTTGGTGATGTAATGTGTGTGTCTGTTCGTCGCTGCAGCATCTCCATGAGATCAACGAGGCAATGAGGGGCGTGGACAGGACCCCGGGGTCAAAGGTGAAGAGAAAGCTGACGATGTTGGAGGCCAGTCCGTACACCAGTGGTCCCACCAAGAGAGTCCGCGTGGAGGTCAGCCCCTGTGATTATTGTCCTCCACCCAATCTTTGATTTGGGGCTCTTTTGCCGTTTTATATAGGGCGTTTTGTGTGTATACATTTACACATGTGGTGTTTTATATATACACGGGGAAGGATTAGCAATGTCCAAACCTAGAACTCGGCATAGTATGTGATGGCATGGGACGAATTGTGAATCGTCCCTCCTTTCACACCATCTTCCCCCTTCAATACACAAAACAAAACCTGCAGAGTTTGTTTTGCCCTGAGCTCTGTCCCTTTATAAATAATTTATGGAAACCCCTGTCATTAATTTAGCATGAATTTCAGTAATTTCATGGTTATGGAGACAGCAATCGACCATGAGCCTTGGTATTGCGAGTGCAAAGACCTGTAAGCCACTGTAGTAACTAGACAGAGGACTGAGTTTAGAACTCCAGGCTCAGCATTGCTTTAGTTTACAGGAGAGGCTGACGTCTGATGTGGGAGTTGTACATTTCGCATGATTACAAGAAAAATTTACATGATTACAAGAAAAATGTGCACCGTTTGGACCGCTAGGTTAGCTAGCCTCAGCTTGCCAATAATACAAGTTCCCTACATACTTCTGGTAAATCAGTCATTTGGACCGGACGTTTACTTGGGGGGAGGTATGTACCTGGTTTTACACGTGTGTGAACCTGGCATAATGTGGATCTCTAGCAGGAATTAACTGGTGACAGGACAAGTGTTGTCATACACATTGGCAGCACTTTAAGGAAATGCTTGGTTCGATAATATCACACCAGGAACTAGGCTAGACCTGAACTATTGGGAACGATAAGAACCCAGCATGGGGTGGAAATGTTCACTGATACATTATCACCTAACTGGAGGATGGTATATAGAAGACAGGCCAGGAGGGAAACAGAAATAGCCAACGTCTGTCGGGAGTCAAACTCAGATGTCATGACTAGAAGTCCAGTGCACTATTATAATACTGACAAAGGTTGGTCCTCTCCGTTCCCCCTAAGTACCGTCTTCTAGTACTCTCCAGAAATGTTGTAGAGCTGGTTGTAATGCTGTTACATCACCACAGCCTGTCCGTGGACGAAGCACTCTCATGGAGCAGCTGAAGAAAATGGCAAATGACAGAGCCAAGGCCGGCCAGCTTCCTCCAACCTCCAGCAGCGGCCATGAAGATTAGCCTCGCCCACAACCCACCGCTGATGACTGGCCACAGTCAACACCACGCCTCATCTTTCATGTCTCTCACACGCAAACAGCCTCACATCACTACACGTGCAATTTGTTTCGCAGTTTCTGTAGTTAGCTCTTTTATTTACTAGCAGACTTCATAATTATTTATAGGACCACTCTTTTGTTTGTGTACATAGCCGTGTACAGGCAATACATAGGGTAGTGTTAATGGCGTCTAACGCAGTGTGCAATAATATTATAGCAATACTTGTTTGATTAGAGTAGGACGTGGTTTTTGGGATTCAATTCTTTTGTACCTTTTTCTTCCGCTACCTTTCCTCGAGGTCTCTGTGTATGTATCTATCATTTCATCACTCCTGATAATACTGTATCTGTGAAAATGTCATTGTATTATACATAATGGGGGGAAATTTATGCACTGATGCAGCAAATTTTGTGGTTGCGTACAAAAGAAAACGAATTGATGACCAGTTCAAGTGAAGTTACGTCTGTGAAAATTTCTCGTTCCATGGTGTCAAAAAATTGGAAGCAAAAAATTTTGAGGTTCTGACTGGTTTGTTTGTTCTGTGATTGAAAGGCTTGGTGTTCTAATTGTGTAATAGCCCATTGTTTGTCTAGTGAAGTCTGTTAAACTTCTTGAGTCTCTCTTCCCTCTCCAGCTCGTACTGTCTCCAGTCTGTCCTCTGTAGGAACTCCTGTTTCTCCAGGTACCTGTGTACAATGACCAACCACGCCATGCAGCTAACAGAAGCACAGCATTAAAACCATAAATGTTTTTGTGACCATGTATAGGTTTGTGGTTCTGTAAGCATGTGACTATGGTTCATTACCAGGTAGAGTAAAACTTTCCCCACAAAGTCGCCCATACTTTACAGACCGTATATACTCATGTCGAAAAAATCTGCAGGCTTCAAACAAAGAAAGTTATACTGACCCATCTTTTCGTTGTTGAGTCAGCTCGTGCTCCAGACCTTCTTCCGCTTTGAATCTGTTCCAGTCCAACTGGGACTTCTCCTGTCGACACACAAACACAAACAAACCAACACAGTGGGCACAAACACACACACACACGCACACACGATAGTAGTATGTGGCCATTATAATATTGTCGGCTAACCAAGGTGCTCATCTTGGGTTTCTTGGCAAGTGACTGTAGAACAGAACTGATTCCTGACCTCTTCTTCCTGCAAATGTCATGTACATACGTCAGTTTATCTCAATTAAACCTATTTGGCATTCCCTTCTATTATGTTTACATGTCGTTGTTACCTTGTGTTATAGGGAGGTTGGCTATGAACAAAGTTTCTGGTATACAGCAGTCAGTAGATAGTGTAAAATTAACTATAGGTGATTTATGTATTAAGTATTTCCAGTGGCACCTTACAGTGTACACACTAGCACGGACACACACATTGTATGCTAACCCAGAAGGAAGTGGTCCAGAGGCAGTTCCAGTGCTGGATGCCCCGACTCCTGTCACTGCAGTGGAAGAGGTGGAGGAGGAGGAGGAGGTGGGTTGAGGGTCTGAAACTGTGGCAGTGGTAGTGGCAGAGGTTATGTCCTGTTCGGACACAAACTGCTTTGCCTCCACAGAGTCTGCTGACACCTCTTGCTCCACTCTGTGTGGGAAACAATCGACTGTTTATCATTTCTCCTCACCTCTCTCCCTTTCTCCCTCCTCCTACCCCCTCTACTTTTCCCTTGCTAGTTATAATGCCCAATGATTACTTGCACTGCACACTCCAGCTGTAGTCAAGGTGCTTAGAATTTTTGGTTGGGTTGTCATTCCCCCCACTTTCCCGCTAAAAATACGAAAGATAGGCTCTTTCCTGCCTGCCTCTCTCCCTCCCTCCCCTCTCTTAACACTGCACCGTTTCCTTACACAACTTCGTCTCCGGCAAAGTCGTAAGTTTTCCGAACCTTCACCGTCTTTGCCGTTGGACCCTTCTCCTGCGAAAAACACGCAGATGTATACCAGAAACACACACACTGAGACACGAGCAAGGAAACATATGTAAATAAATCCAAATCGAGAGGGGAGAGAAGGTGCATGTATGCTACCTGTCACTGTGGCCATGTTCAGAAAGAGTCCAGCTGGGGAGCAGACGACCGACAAAGGGCTGGGGCTAAGGACAGCACCACGACAACTAATCTAAACCTATTACCTTCACACAACATGCCCGAGAGGCAAAACTACGTTACACAATTAGCATAACCATAACCGCTGCGATTGAGATCAACACCACAAAAGAATGTAACTACCGTGTGCCCGACTAATGCGCGACGGTACAAACACTTCCAAATGCTTGTGGTGGCCGGGACATGTGTGCCCTGGGTTGACTTATTAGGAGGAGCAGTGAGAGCGTACGGACGGTAGCACTTGGCGCGAGTGACCAGTTTGAGGATTAGTGCTCTAGGACCATGAAAGGCAGCGTCACAAGATCAGATGGAGGCAAGCACTAGAAGTGGTAATTCGAGCAAAACAACAAGCTAGTGTGAGAAATTATTGGCAGCGGTAATGGAATGAGAACCAGAAACCGTTTCACGTTTTCACACACTGTGTGCCCTTTACATACAGTGGTGCAACTTACTGTGCATCAGTGGGTGGATTATGATATAAAACAATTCTTTTCAGGGGTACAGTGATAATGACGTGTGCAGGAAGAATGTTAGTATAAACACTGGTGCATCAGTGACGCAGAAATTTTAATTGCTCCCTGGTCCACTGCTATACTTCTATATCTGAACATGTGAGAATGCAGCTGTAGCATCAAGCTATATAGATGTGACGTGGTGAGAATGGTGCACTCGTTGAAGGCACCATCCATATAAGATTGTAGGTAAGAACTTCTTAGAGAACTGAGGTAACTGGAGTAGTGTGTTAGAGGCTGTAGGTGGTGTGTCAACATACAGGTCTGGCACAGGGGCAACACAGTCACAACACACACTCCACACAGACCACATACTAGGACCTCATACATCATCCACTCCTAGAGACGCTATATAATTATACATCTACTGAGCATCCGTAAACACAGCACCAGAGCTCCTGGCCTGCCAGGTCTAACTCGGTTATTCAGTGTCCATTATTGAGGGGATAAGGAGAAAACAGTCGGGGACACAAGCAGGCAAACATACACCGACATTAAACTACACATGTACATTAGTTGCAGTTCACACGCATACAATTCTTCCAAGCCTTTATAGGTCACATGCATATCCAGCCCATGTACTGATCATACATCAGAAGACCATAATTAGAGGTAACAAGGCAAGGCAAGCAGCTACCCAGAGCAACACGTGTACTGCAAGACTGTGTGTCAAGCTATGATGTACAGTAGTGCACCTTGCCTTGGAGGTATCAGAAGGTGTCTGGTCGCTGTTTTTCACTTGCTCTGGTTTCCTCAGTCGTGCCGCGGAGTCCTGCTTGAAAGACTCCCACAGATCGTCGACTCTCGACTTCTCTCCCTGTTGCTTATTCTCCCCCCTCTCCTCCTCTTCCTCCTCCTCCTCTGTCTTCTCCTTCTCTCTTCTCTATGTCCTCGTGGACCGTGATGCTTTTCACAGGTCTACGGTGTCTTCTACTGGTCCTCCTCCTGGAAGATGGAATCAGAACACACACTACTGGCCCTCCTGGAAGATGGAATCAGAATAAAGGAGGGTACAAGCAAAACACACCCTACTGCGCACAGCAGGATACTTTCGACGGACAAAAACGGTGTAATTCAGTAGCAAACATATTCCCCACAGGTGAATAGGGGTCCAGTACATTATTTGGGAATCTCATATATAGGCAGCTAGAAAATAAGGTGGGAAAAATAGGCCAAATTTGCTGAGGCAAGGGTGTGAAGGCAGACATGTGCACACACCTCCAAGCATAGATTATGACTCAGATTTAGTAGCGAGTTCAGTCGTCAGATGATTATTCCCGCTAAAATGGCCCTTTCCCACAAATTCTCACGTTAAACGCTGGCAATGTGAAATTTGTGGAACTTTCTCCTCCAAAAGTTACCGCTATCGGTACTCTAAACAAGCATAAAATATTGGGTTTCGGAGGGTATTTACAGGTTAGGGGAGTGGGGGTGGCAGAACCACTTGTAAACTACAAACTACACACTCATTAGTAAAAGGGGGCCAGTCGGCCATATCTAATACAAGAAGCTCTAGCAATGTATAGTACAACAGTAGTGAGCGTAGGAGCGATGATTACTATATATGAATGGGCTACTAGAACCACAGGGATCGCTTTCTAGTAGACTTTATAAGGCTGTATGAGCCAGTCCAACTTACGCTCGACTGCGACCTACAAATACTCTGACACACTCCACCACTAGAACACACACAAATACACACACGTGCTGCAGTCAATCGCAGCACACACACACTCTGCGCACACACAAATACACACACGTGCTGCAGCAAACACCCACACAAATACACACACGTGCTGCAGCAAACACCCACACAAATACACACACTTGCTGCAGCAAACACCCACACAAATACACAGGTAAACAACACTCAAAGAACACATGGAGAGCTTCAGTAATGCACTACTTGTAATAGTAGCCAACGACTCAGCTTAGAACAGCTTAGAACAACACACGGGGCCAACTGAATAGAGGTTTTCAGGGGAATGATTCCACAAAAGGCAGTACAGAGCACAGCATGACGATATATACAGAACTTATAAGGTCTTATTGGGTTTACCGGAAATCTACGTCTACCAGAGGAAACGCCGCTGGTTCCGGTAACCTCAGAAATTGGTTACTGGCATACGGTGGGCAGTTGTAGCAACCACGAAATTACATTAGAGTCTGGTAAACTAGATATATCCATTTCCCGCCCAGTTGTAATATCTGGACCCTCCCTCTATTGAGAGGCCGTGCTCCACCCTGGACCTAATAGGCTATTCTGTGTATTTGAAACATGACTCCTGGCGGCTACCTCATGTACCACGTGAACTGCTAGGAAACTGCCGGGGAGTTCCAGCAAATGATTAGTGAGCGGTTAATTGATGCAGATATGGTATAGAATAATTCTTGCATACCGGTGTCTAGATCATGAGCATTAAATCATGGGCAAAACGGTTTATATTATCATAAATTCCAGTGTCCGCAAAACCTATGTGACAAGAGCCTAGTGGCAACATCAAACCTGCGATTGCTACTACACAGCAAAGTACCTTATATTATAGCAGCAAAACCGAGAGAAAAACACTTTGTCTACATACAATTTATGTTGAGAGAGAAATAAACTTCACCCATACCCAATCTACGATGCTAGGTGATTTTCACTGTGTTTAGTCCTTACCAACGAATTTCGCGGCGATTGTTCAAAGCCCTTTTGCCTTAGTGTCCTGAAAATGCTATATATAGCCTGCCAACTTACGTTATCGTGGATGTCCTCTGAGAGGAGCGGGTGGTAATGGAGGAGGTGGACACCCTCCTATCCTCCTTCTCCTCCTCCTCTTCTTCCCCAGCCACACTCTGCTCACTCTCCGACCTCTCTCCATCTCCTGCAAACCAACCATGGTGGGCATCATTTAGAATTTAGAACAGCTAAGCTCAAAATTTGTGTGCAACCTGGCCAGACATACATACATACAGTGTGAGTATTCTATCGAACCTTCTGGGATGTACTCCAAGTCCTCTGGATCGCTGCTGGCGTCGCTGTCGGCCATAGCGTGCAACTCGTCCGTCCACTGTACACGCCTATTCACACCGCGAGTAATGGGAGCTCGTTTTCTTGCCTGGAGGAAGAGGTATATGACAGGGCGAAAGTCGCCTTTCTCCAGTTGCGTCTTTTAAAAAATACTCCGCTTTGTGGACGGTGTCGCAAGCACAACACCTCAACCTCGAAGTCTCCTAGTTCCATTTGGAGCACCCCACCTGTGTGTAATTCTATTCTTGCCTGTCAGATGACGGTGTTGTTGGAGGTTGTGGTGGGGCTGTTTTTGGTTCTCTTTGGAGTAGCAGCAGTCATACTCTTCATAGTACTGTGTACGTTGCCGAGCTCCTGCAGCTAGACTGACAAACCCACGACTACCCACGTGCAGGTTGGGGACTGGTGTGGAAACTGCTTCTCTCCCGTCTGGGTCTGTTCAAGGAGCTGTTCAGTGACCTGAGAGGCGACAAGAAAGAGGCAGATTCAAGCCAGCAGGGTAGGGGTAGAAGACAGGTCGAACACTCAACCACCAGACCACCATACTCACCCACAGGTGGTTCTAGTCGAAAACGAATAGGGGTTTACTCAGGTGATAAGCACTAGTTCCAATTGTACAGTACGCTCTGTGCTTGCTATTTAACCTGTTTAGAAAGATTTTATTTCAAGTGATGTACAATACAAGATTGGTGAAAGGAAAGTGTCACCGATATAATATATAGTAATTCAGTGTTCTAAGATATAACGAGAATGAATGGGCAGCAGTTGACTCTGGACCTGTGGTTCTGCATCTGGTGTCTTCATGATCAGCTTCTATTCACCCTTATCTCCCTCCTCTCCCTCCTCCCCCTCCTCTCCTCCTCACAAAACGGCATAGATAGGGACGAGTGATGTGAGTGTGGTGAGTGTGAGGGAGATAGCGCTAAGCCCCGCCCCCCAGCCAAGGGCAGCTGCAGAAGACATGCTCCAACCCAGCGTCATATAAATCCCTGCCACAAATGCACCTGTGTGTATATTAGTGCAACAAAAGAACATCGGCTTATGAGACAATGCACTTGATAAGACAGGCAATGGCATGAAAACTATGACCCAATTCATATTGTTCATGACCAGTCAGGCAAATTATCAGAATCAGGTTAATACATAATAGGCAGCCTCTGATATGGACATAGGACAGTAGGTTTGTGGAATGTCAGACTATAAGCAGCAGGCAAGATTGTATATACACATTCTTGTGCTTGTCTCTTATTAACACACAGCCCTGGGTGCATGCACAGCCATGATCACCAAATTAAAAGGCAGGACAATTGTCTCGAGGGGCATATCCGTGTTTGGCTAATGGCATTACAGACATAGCCGTGTGGGGGTCGCTGCCTGGCCTTATCCAGTCCCTCCACAGAGCATGTGGTCAGAGATTGTATGAGACCTTCTCACCCCAGCCTGCCAGGCAGACAGACTCAAGGAGACTCGCAAGACTGGGAGACTCGCAAACAAACTGTGACTCTAAGAGCACGCTATAGCGAGTGCAAACGGACAGTTTTCTTCTCTGGGGATAGCTATATTACGGACGAAGGCAACACTGGGACTCTTGCCTCTGGCCTATATCTCAACATACGTAATTATGTAGCACCACTGTTGCAACCCTTTTCTGTCAACATTTCCTTACATTTATGCACCATTGCCTACGTTTATGCACCAGTTCCTTGTGTTCTAGCCCATGCCCCTTAGCCTGTGCTGTGTACATTGTCATTCTCTCTGCCACAAGTGTAATATGATGGTGGCCCTAGGGTTTCTACCCATCACGTGCTCTGCCTCAGAGGTGCTCTGCCTCAGACCTGCGTCTAGTATTTACCAAACACCAGGTAGGTGGTATACATAGTATTGTGTAGGAGGAGCAATTGCTCTGATATCATGACAGACAGCGCCCACAAGCTATCCAGTACTGCAATTATCATGGAAGACCATTTATGGTCAATTTATCGGTCCATAGGTAATGTCAAAGTTGGACAGGAGTTACAACGTTGTAGTATCTACATAGTACCAGGGACAAAGCTTGATGGTTACATCACCTCCAAGCATTACACCACCCCATAATCCCTTACATCTTATACTTAACCATTGTTGTTGACTTTCATCAATCTGAGGAAAAGCTAGATGTTGTATTGTAATATAAAGCCTGGTACACAATACGTGGGTGGATCACGCGGGATCGTGGTGGAGGGCCAAACAGGATGCGAGTTTGCACCGTAGAATGTTCACCAACCAACTTTGCATCACGTCGCGGGATTCTGTTTAATGTATTGTGAACCAGGCTTAAAAATTAGTTACATCGTCACTTTGAGGTATTATAGGGACTCCCACAAATCCTCCCCGTGTATGACAGCATAATTAGTAATTAGTTCCCAATATCCGGACCTGAGCTAGAGGTTGCACTGCGTAATAATCTGTCATTACATCACTCCTGAGGTATAAAACTCCCACAAACGCTCCCCCTTGTAACTCATCCCGACAGCTGCTTATTATATATAGCGAGCATTAGGCTAAGGTTACTGCAATACAGGTTACATTACTGCATCACAATCACTCTCTCTTGTGTCTCCTGGCAGTACATAACTACACTTACCCATACTACCCTTACCCATACTACTTAACCATTCCCACAGAACTTCAGCTCCCTAGAATTATACATCTGGCGCAAAGCTAGAGGATTTAAGAATTTTGTGTTACGTTGAAATCCCCCACCCCGACAGTAGGTAAATAGTACTTGGTGGAATTGAGAGAATTACCATAATCCTGGAAGCTAGGAGTTGGATCTGGAATAACATCGCTCCCAGTATAAACCCCCACATTCTTTCAATCACCCCTCTTGCATGACACACACACACACACACACACACACCGTGTGATGTAAAGAGAGCTCCATCCACGTGGAACCCCTTCCAGGTATTCTCTTTGAACCGCACCAAACAATTGGGGTCAAGTATGTGCATGACACAACAAATTGGTACGATATTAGGTCAACCCCTATTGATACAGCACTTGATGGACTCTGGAATGGCGGTTCACATAGGGACACCCGGCCGTCTGTGTGTAACTGATTCCAACTATGACATGTCCATCAAATGTGCACAACTTACACACATGCTATGCAATAGAGTAGTGCACCATTCTATGCATTAGCGGGAAACCTGTAATTGTACATACATACACACTAGGGTGTCCCTGTCGTTTAATGTAGACTTCCGTTACGCAACCACGGTAAATTGCTTGTACGTTGAGTAAACAAACGCACCGTCTTTTGGTCTACGGCTATATGCGACGTGCGGCGTACTTTGCCAGGAATGGCGGCTAACATGATTTGGCTCACTTAGCTCCCGGGGGTAACAAAGTTGCAGCACTAAAGATAGTCTGTGGTGTCGCCCAGAGCCACTCCGCATACTCTGTGCCCCGGACTACGGGCTGGAATGCCCTAATGAGGCTAATGGCTGTGACATCACTCACACGGAATGTTGGTCAACAAGTCGAGAGCTCAAATGGAAACACGGGAGACACCACGGGCCATCTCCAATTATGAAAATTGCTCATTATTAGTTAGTGCATATATATGCACCGGAAAAACAATTTTTACGCTTTGCACACTCTTATCCAATACAAGTCTACATGTGTGCATAAATACATAAGTATCTATACAACAAGCTATGGACTAACTATTTGTCAAACAAGCCATACTGCACCCTTGTATCCACGTTTGCAGGGGTGGCCCCTTGATACAAGACTAATTTTAATCAGCTTTAGTACAATGTTAGGCGAACATTGCATAGCGAGAAATGTCGAGGGAGACTAATTTCGTACTTTAAAAGCTAACTGTTTTAATGCCAATTCTTGTGGGCAGAGACTTTTCACGGGTGGATAAACAGTCATTTCTCACCAAATCTCAAAAAGGTCTCTCTCCCCCTCTCTCCCTCTCTCCCTCGGAAGTTTCCTGCTACGGTGTATATAACTAGTAACTGCCACAAAAAGAACTGTAAATGGAGTTAAACATAGCATTGTGCCTTTGAAGGCCTTCTATTGTGGCACCACTGTAGAGTATTAGCCCGAGCACATTTACAGCTGGGTCAAACAGAGGCTCAGCATGTGCAGAGTTTTTTTTGTATGACATCTTCTCTAATGACTTCATGTGACCGGAAAATAGACAGTGACAACCACTGCAATACATGCGCAATATGGAGAACGGTAGATTCCCCATATAAGGGAATCCAAGCCATCAAGATATATACCGGTAACATTGTCTGCTAACACCACACTACTGTTTTACCACAACACACAGTTTGTTATCAGTTTCTGCTATTGGTAAACTGGAAAAGTAATTCATGGCTCTGTATTTTGACTTATGAAACAGTGACCTAAGAGGTGCAAAACCACAAACACAAATGCAACTTGATATTTTGGGCCCCACACATAATAGCATTTGCCCATATAAGTACATGCTAGCTAGTTCACACGGGACTACACAGACATGTGACTTGCTCTGTATGTACCACCTTATGCCGTGTGTGTGTGTTTGTGTTTGTGAACACTCCCTTTATCCTATTCACTTCAGTTACAGGTGGTGACATAATGTGAGGTGTAGAAACAAAAGATAAAAAGGAAGTAGGATGTAGTATAGGAACTGTCATAAACAGTCCCCAATCTATAATTTTCACTTCCAGTGTGTGCATAGCTTCAGCTATGGACTAATATGGAGGACCAGTATTGATCCCATAGCCTCAAAGGTACACCTTGTCCTCATGCAATCTATAGCACATTAACACCAAGACACTTGCAGTGGGAGATTGAGGCCAGAGAAAAGGGGAGGGAGAGGCAAAGTTATACAGCACACCAGACAAAGTGGTAATGTTTAGTCTGAGAGCCGAGCCTGTCATTCATGGTGCGCTGCAGTGGGACGAAAGATGGGTGGATCTGCAGAACTACAGCAGATTAATGTCAAGTTGCAGAGCAAGCAACACACTGCTGCATGCGCACACCCACACACCACCACACTATCCCCACGAACACAATCTCATAGCAAGAGTGTGCGTGAGTGTGTTAGTAAGCATATCGTGTTCAACGACAGACTAACTTGTCAGGACAGACAGCATGACAAGGGAGAGAGAGAGGGTGTGTCACAGTGTAGCCCCACAGGCAGCTCCTCAGTGAGAACTGCAGTGCTCAGTCACAACATGGCTGCCAGCCTGCGACCTTACAAGTGAACCCACAAAGCTTTGCCTCCTAATTACCACGGCTAATCCGTCAATTGTAAACATTCACACATGTCTGAGTATAAGCAGAATCTGAGGACGGATACCTGGGAGAGGGCTATGCTATGCTACAACAACACTCTATGGGCTAACTCTCTGGTGTCGTGTGGCCGATGGATTTCCGAACACACACACACACACACAATGGCATGGGTTTTTGACAGCCAAATCAGAACAGTACGTGACGCGTACACTGCAGATGCTCACACCTCACGCTGTATTGTACGTGCCTGTGCCTGTGCCTGTGCCTGTGCCTGTGCCTGTGGTGGGTCAAATGAACAAGTGAACAAGTCTCTGCCAATTAAGGTAATGATGTAATTAAAAAAGATTTCTCAGGACAATACCAGAGTAACGACACACACGCACCTATCTGTTTTTACTGTGCAACTATACACTAGGGCGATTGATGGAACTCTCCAGATATGGGGACCGAATCAAATTATCATTTCTCACACTGCTAGGCCTCATTGCACAATGCCGCGGGGAAAGTCACGTATCAAAGGAATTACGGCCTCAAAATTAGAGGTTGACAAAGGAAGGTTCTAGGGGATAGGGTCTTCCTATGTCGATACTTCCTTCAGACCACAATTATATCCAGTCTCTGTATATCCATTGTGATATTCATTGGGGTTTTTTGAAAATATTTTGCCTCTCCTTATGAACTCCAGTTACCCACCAATGCTGAAATGATTTGTTTTTGGTGTTGACTCACAGGCAATGGCGTCTCCACAGATGACCCTGAGTGCAGCATAGACGAGGAAGAAGAGGGGAATCCCCACGCTCACCCCCTTTTTGATGAGTCGCATGCTCACCGCACAGGCCACACCCACAGTCACATAGACGACAGTCGTGAGTAGGAAAGCCCAGAACAGCATGTTGGCCCACATTCCTGCACATGAAGAGATGAATGGAGGTGGGGTGGGAGGGAGAGAGATATGAGTTAAAAATCAACCACGAAATCTTCTCTTTATTACTCATCCCCAAGGACATTATCTCTTGGCGTGAGCTTCCTCTTGCACACCTTATACGTGATCCATATAGGATTTCAGCGCCTTTTGAGCTGTGGGTGGTACACACTCCAGCCTGCCCCACGTATATACATGCTACGATTACCTGTGGCTGTATCCAGAGTGTCCTCAGGAAAGTTTCCCAGACCTGTGGCCATTTTCGGCGGTCGTCTGCCGTTGCTCAAAGTACCTCTGTTCCCCAACAGGCCCCGAAAACAAGCGCAAAGAGAGAGAGATGTCTGCTGCTGTATGCTAACACCTCGGCTGAAACACTCGCGCGCAAAGGGTTACGCCCCTAGATTGCGGAAACTGTTCGGTAATTACTAACATTCCGCGGTTTTATAATTACGTTCCGGCCAACGCGGGGTTCGCTATAGAAGGAGAGAGTAGTTGTGTCTAGAGAGGTGCAGCGGAGGACATAAAAATCTGTGCAGCCGTGCTACGGTCATTTTGAGAGCTATGACAGAAGTTGAAGTTGACAGCAAGTCACTGATTATGCCCACAGCCACAGTAAGTCTCTTGCCTTCTGTAAAGTTGTTAGACTAAGCATGATGTGTTTCTGATGGACGCGCCGATGGCTGAATGAACGCTGCCAGTTTGCATTTATGTAGCTATCAACATTTGATTGTGTATTCACAGGTCGTTTAGATAGGTAGGTAGGTAGCTATCGTAGACCATTTGGTGTAGCTCCTGAATGTTGATCTCGGTTGATCTCTAGACAACGCTGTAGCAAGTAGCTATGTCCAATGTTTCATGCACAGAAGAGGAGGTAGGTAGCGAAGACTCTAGCAGGCCAAGTGCCAACTGAATGCGAGCTTTACAATCATTGCCAGGCTGGCAGAGACTCGAGCTGAATGCCAAATTTGCTACTTCTTCTCTGGTTATCCTAATATACCAAAGCCATTCTGCGGCCTACTCGGGCCCTTTGTCATGCTCTTGGCGGCACGTCGCAGGCACGCGTAGTGTGGTGTAGTACCGGACTCCTAGAGTTTAATGTCTGTTGCTTCTCTTCCTCCATCGCAGGATAGCAGCCCTGGCGACATGCCCCCGCTTCTAGCGAGGGCTCGCTACAACAACGTGGCCGAGGCAGTGGACGAGCTATCGTTTCGACAAGGAGACGTGGTCACGGTCCTCAAGAAGGATTTCAACGGACAGGTGGACTGGTGGCTGTGCGAGATGCGGGGGAGGGTCGGGATGGTGCCCGCCAACTACTTCGAGATTTTCCACGACTCGGAGGCCACGTACGACACCCCCCGTCCCTCGTCGAGGACGACGCCTTTGGGGCGCAGGAGAAGATCTCCTAGCGCGGACCCACTGGACACGGACGACGACGTCGTGTACGACATACCGCCGCACGAGCGGAGGCGGCAGCAGCAACAAATGACCTCTGCCGCTGCAGAGGAAGGCGCAGATTACGATTTCCCACCGCCGGAGCCCGGCAGCGTCCCTCCAGTGGAAGCGCCCGATTACGATTGTCCGCCGAGCCATCCGGGTAGCGCTCGCTCCAGCCTCAAATCAGGCTCAGCTTCGGGGATCCTTCTCCACCGTCTATCGCAGACCTCGGGGAGCTCAGGAGGGACTTCAAACTCACAGATCTACGATTTACCGCCTGCAGAACTCGCGGAGGTGTATGACCTGCCGAAGGCCGACCAGCCGGCAAAGGGGTTTGAGGAAGAGGAGAGGGGACAGATGCTAATGGCGGTAGACATTGGACAGATAATGGATGAAGAGGCAGAGGATATGCTCGCGTCTTACTGCAAACTAGTGAAGGTCACGTATGAAAATCTATTTCAGACGGTGTACGGGAAGGAAGCATACTGGGGCACCGATAACATGTCACGGAGGAACGACACGCTCCAGATGACTATTCACGCTGGCAAGCAGTTTGACAGAGCACTCACTGCACTCCTCGAGTTCGGGAAAGGAGTGGCCAACTCACTGGAGAGTTCCCACGACACAAACTTCAAGAAAAAGTACGGGAGCCACTACCGAGGCCTCCTACAGAGACGGCACGAGATCCTCCCGAAACTCGAGGCTCTCCCGCTCAACAACGAGACCACTACAGCCACCGTGAAATCACTCCTGGAGGTCACCCGCATCCTCCCCAACGCAGTCAACGAGTTTGCAGTCCTCGTGCGGGTTAACAAGGCGGTTCTCTTCCGCTCCGAGAGCAAACCGGGTAGCGAAGGTCTCCCGGTCCTCACCAAGAGCGAGGTAAAGGCCAGACCACTCCCAGAGCTACCCCCCACCCCCACATTCCAGAGAGACTCGTGTTCGTCTGGCTACGACTATGCGTACATCCCTAGTGAAGATGGGGACCCTCCTCCAAGACCTCCCAAACCAATGACTGATTGCAGGAGCGACGCTGGGAGTCCCTCTCTCGTCACGTGCCACACACCCCCTCTCCCCGCCTCCCCCTCGCGACACCCCAACACCCTCAACAGTTCAAACAACTCTGACTCTGGACTCGACTACCAGCTTCGGAAACGGAACCCGCAAGACAACCTGCCCCCTCTCCCCTACGCCACCGTCCCACGATCTCCAAAGAAGGCGCTGCCCGTCGAAACGAGCACGCCGTCCACCCCAATCAGAGGTCAGAGTCCGACAAACCTGCACCTCACGCCGGTCAGAGGTCGAAGTCCGAACCACTCAAGAACGGACCTGAACATAGTCAACGGACGGCATAGTCCAACGTCTATGAGTGTTGCGGGAGACTTTATGGGCCACCGACAGAGGAGTAACTGCATGGTGAGCACCTCTCGGGTGGCCAGCCCTAGTCCTCTCCACAGACCAACGCACAAGAGGAACCAGAGCTACGATAGCAACCTCTCGGAGACTAGTTCCTGCGATTTGAACGAGAGTGTCGGCGGATTCAGGCGAGTGAGATCAAACGACCTCCTAGACGGTCCGTACGGAAGGGCGAGTACTCCAAGTCAACAGCCACACAGATCAACCAGCCCTCAGCAGCTGAGACGAGAAGAGCGCGAGCTTCTGGACAGGTTCAGCAAGCAGATGGAGCTCATCACTCCCAGTCTGAGGGAATCCGTCGATGTTTTGCTCAACAGCATCAGTGTGAGCGAAACCCCGAAAGAGTTTGTCACCAAGAGCAAACTGGCCGTCGTGGCCGCCTACAAACTTGTGTACGTTGCCGACGCTCTCTGTCAAAAGATTCTTCACAACGAGACAAAGACGGCCATCCTATCCTCGAGTAACATGCTCACGGAGAGTATAAAGGCTCTGGTGTCGGACACAAAGTCGGCTGCCCTGCAGTACCCCAGTGTGCTGGCCCTGGAAAAGATGGGCGAGAGCCTCAAGAGATTCTTCCCCTCGGCTCTGGACCTGGTCGAGTCTGTCAAATCAAAAGGCACTCAGATCTAGCTATCATCTCACCCATACAGTGTTTTGTGTTGTGTATCTTTGTTTTTTGCATCACAAAATCTTCCGCCAAATATTTTATATAATATTGTACTTTCTCGCCATCCTGCAAATTTTTCTATCCTGGTATTGGGTATTGTAATGTGTATCCACCGACGCTGCGCATTGATGTGTGCTGCCATACCCAACGCTTACTATACTCTAAGCAAACGTGGCTCAGATTTTTTGCGGACCTAGAGTTAGAGATTATGCGCATGCGTGTGCTAGCCGCGAGGTTTGTGATGGTGAAGAAGTGGAGTTTCTGTGCGTCTTTCGGCCCTCCGCTGGTTGCCTTGGGTGCCCTCTTCGTCTCTTTGCGGGGCTGTGGCGCTGCTCCTGCGCTCAGCCTCACCCGCACCAGAATCTACGGCCCGGGAATCCATCCAAAGAGATGTAGCCTGCCCATAAACTACTTCTACATTCAGGCCGTCGACACTGATGGAAACAAGTATAAAATTCTGCGGTAGTTGCATGCAAATGATTAGCCCTGTGTATGAATTGCGAAAACCTTGGGTATGCTGTATGAGTGGGTGTGGAGTAGGGGCAAGAATGTAGCCAAGGAAGTGGAATGAGAATCCCTGAATAAGGAGAGGCTGGTGGACGTATTATGGGTGGTCAATTGTTTTGTTGTGCAGCTCTGGGTTCAGAACTAGGTTTATCACAGCCACGTTGCGTAGTAGGGTCTTGCAGTTGCTGATTTGTGTTCATAGGTTGTGCTTTCCTGTAGTGATTTCAGTAGGTATGCTGCTTGTTTTGTTTGATGTAGTCTGGCTTGTTGTGTTAGCTCCATCATCAGCTGTGTTTTGGACCATCAAACACATACAACCAACCACCGACATTACAATGCTACAGAACATACACACAAAAACACCAATGCATAATGTTATGGAGATTATGTTTACATATCTAATATTTTGCCTGTGTCAGTCCCTTCATAGAATGCCGTGTTGTACTATATGTCGTACATTTATACTGCTTATGCAGCTACAGGGATGTGACAGAGGCCACATTTGAGGTGTCCTACGAGACAGACGATGCTGGAAGCAACAACCGAGTGAGGCGACGACAGGAGGTCCTCAATCTTCGAGACGGTCTCATCCTCCACCAGTTCAGGATCTACCACGACTACCACTCCCTGGCCATCTCAGTCACTCACAGAGGGAAACACGTCGCTGGGTCCCCGTACCACGTCAGTCCCGTTCTTCACGAGGACTGTGCCTGCCCCCTCCGCTCTCTCGATGAGTGGACAAGGGACTTTGACTGTCCCGACACTGACCCACAGATATTGGAAGACTTGGAGCCATTTCGCGAGGACGGGATTAATGTCACGAACCTCTACGATAGGGGCGGAGAGCTATTTCCCCGTCATTCCTTCATCCATTACTCCATTGTCGACGGCAAGGTATAGTCTGGTGCCCTAGACCAGCTTTGGATTATGATAGTAATGGCCATGTGGTGGTAAACAGTTCGGTTTGTTTTATTCACGTGGGTGTGGAAGGAAGCGCACAATGTTTGAAATCAACCATGAGGTCGAGCACAGGTAGATTTTGTTGTCAGTTCATTTTGAAATTGAGATTGCAGTGACATTGCTTCTAGTGTGAACGATTCCATGAAAGTAATACGAGGCCTTGTCTTGGTATAACATCCATAGCAAGACTTGTGCAAACCTTTGATGTCCATGAGGTTGTTGGTTCCAGAGCTGTATGTAATTGGACAGATGGGAAGGGGCCATTATCACATTCCTTCATCCACTACTTCATCCACAGACATGTAAACACCTGAAGTGACCACAATACACACATACATACATACCTGAGGGTGTAGTGATAATTATACTGAGGAGGACGGGAAGTTTCTCACATGGGCTGTTGTCGCTATGGAATGGTGGAATGTCTTGTGTGTTTGCGAGGAATTTTAAATCCGGTGGTGATGGAATGGACCAGTCATCTGGTCATCAGGCCCTCTGTCCATGCTCCATGAGACAGGGAATCTTGCGAGGCACGCTTCAGTTGGCAAATCCAGTCCTCTCCCTCTCTCACACAATTTCCACCTATATACTAAGTACGGTAGTACTTATATATAGGGATGACATTTATCCAGCATTATGCCCATACATTTGAGATTTTTACGTTTTGCATATAGAGCCCAGCTAGGCATGTATCACTCCCTTGACTCTCTCCTCATCCCTGTAGTGTATTATACTCACATAGCTCTTTCTACATCAACTCAGGTTCCAGCTACTGCTATATACTGTACTGTATATACATCACCCCCTGAACCTTCCAGTCTCATGCTTTCCTCTATGTAGTATGTAGTAGTCACACTGGCTTTCTACTTTTCCTCTGTCCAGCTTTCCACCCTCATGGATCCTACTGCTATAACTCGCTCACTGGAGGATTTTCCTTATAGTTTGCCACGCACCATGTCTCCCCACAATACTCGCACTGGCTTTCCTTTTCACTAATTGGGGAATTCATATCCATCCAGCTGTGGCCTATGATGCCAACGGATTACCAGCTCCATTCCTGCACGGTCGCCTCCCTCCTTAGGCTCAATTATAGTTGAGGTTTGACTTTGTCTTGTATTGTGCAGTACATCCTGCATGCTAAGCTGCCCTGGTAGCTCAGTGGCTAGACTGTGGAGTGTCGTAGGTTCGAATCGCCTGTTGTCCTGGAAATTATAGTTGTGTTTTTGCTCTGCCTTTGCCTTCAAACCTCACCGTTGTTTACAGCAAGTACACCGACTTTCCTCCCATCGCCCAGTCACAGTGTGTGACTGTGTTTCCACCTCATCCAACACACTTCCTCACTCCACTTCCTTGTAGATCCCAGGGACTTCAGGCGTCTCTCTCTATATGGCCATTGCCTGCCGCTCCACCCAACTTTCTATATCCACTGTACCACCCTTCCTATATCTCTCTCTCTGTGTGTATGTCTTATTGTCATATAACGTTCTCTCTATGAACCTCCTATTACCATATCTTATTCCTCTGTATATATAGAAACACAGTGCCAGTGTATACATACATATACACCTACTAGCACCAGTGTAAGACCTGGTAATTAAATGGTTCATTACAGACGAATTAATATTGTGTTCCATGGTCATTGTTTAGCCTGCCAGTCCCTGACAAAGTTAGGGAATTCTCTATTCTCGCCTACTAAGTACCTGCTGGCACCTACTCCGGACAAGGTTACTCCATGAATACTCGTCAGACTACCAAAAGTATTGACATCTCCATGATATCTTCTAGCTGGTCGCACAGAGTGTACGTACAAATGTATGCGATGTGTGGTGAATGGCGCCAATTGAAGTTGGCACGAGGAGTGGTTGTTGTTGAGCAAACTTCGTTTCAGGCAGTGTCATGTGGTTTGGTGCCACGTTGATTAGTCCGTCGGGCCACTTGCAGTCCCTCTCAGAACACAAGACGCTTGATTTGAGGTGTGGCACTTTTATTACTCCGTGTGTTTTCATACTCACTTAGAGCACTGTGTGTGTGTGTGTGTGTGTGTGTTGTGTGTTATGAGTGATTGAGATTCACAAGGTGGGTTCCTGCACGTACCCATAGGCCCCAGAGGGATGGCGACCACCTCAGTGTATTCATATGGGACAGAGTCTTTGTTGTGGTGGAGGTTGAATTAACCCTAGCTGGCTTCTTTGCTTTACCCACTGCGTCGATTACAGAATGCTTGCTCTGTGGATCTCTATACAATCAACGGCTCAAAATACATCAACTATAGAAGACATGCTACGTAGAATGAATGGCTATACAGGTGGGTCCCTGCCAGGAAATTTATATAGCATCACCATTTATGTTCACACGGCTCTTAAGAATTGTAATTCAGACGACCTGATTGATGTATTGCGCAACATTGACCTTTCGATATCAAAGGGAATAAAAGGTGTTAGGAAACGCATACCGGTAGCAGTGGGTTATACAGCGTTTTACTGCGTTGCTGGAGTGAAACACTAGTAGCGCTGTGAGTTGACAGGGAAAGACCGGCCGTTGTTTGCTCTGTGTTGATGTGTTGTAGTAAAGATAGGGAAATGTCGTGGAAAGACCATGTTTAGGATCGACAGTGTGTGAGGGAAAGACATCAATAAGAATATCATTACATCAGAATGCAAGTTACACAAAAAGACCAGAGTTTGTACCATAGTAGGCGAGTTAGGGGAAGACCATTGAGAAAGAATAGTTTAGTCTCAATACACCAGTGTGCAATTAGTTAGGGATCATTATGTGAATGTGACTTGATGTCTTTTCTCCCGATAGGTCTATGCCCAGAGTTTTGGCTCCATCACTGGGTTCAAGTTCATGTCCGACATGTTTCTTCTCTCCATGGCCAACAAGGTGGGTAGTTGACTTGCCTTACTCTCAGGCTCCTCCTCTAACAAGCAAGGAGTAGCTTTGCTAGTGACCTATTAATTAAAAACGAGGTTACAAGGGAAACAAAGAGGCAAACAACATAACCACTACACCCGGGACAACCCAAGAGCTGCCCTGGGTGAGATTCAAACCCACAGACACTCTGCAGAGTGCTCCTCTACTCTAATGCATACGTACATAGGTAGACCTGCAAGCTGTTGACTCACATTCGCTCTTCTTTTGAAGACTTCCGTCTGGGGTGTTTGCATCAACACTACTTTAGCTCATCGGTGGGCAAATACACACGTGGATAAAAAAAACGCAAGGTTAAACCTAAAGCATTTCTAAAGCTACGCATAACGTATGATATATGTACACACTTGGCAGGAGTAGAGAGTACAGTTACTACTTACACTCTAGTGATGTGTTTGACCTCTATTGAACTGCACGGACGTGTACTCTTGACCCATTATTGTTGGTCATCGGAGGGTGGCCTCTTTGCCCTTATGGCTGCTGGGGTCTCAGTAACAACCGTACCTCTGTTTGCCGCCGAGTATGCAGTGTTTGGTCTGTGGAAGAGGTTGCTGGCAAAAACGCGCTATGGATGGAGACACCAGCCCAGTGTTTGTACAATTAGACCTAGCAATTGAGAAGGCAGTTATGACGCAGAAATGTCGATCTTCGACCGCTTTATGCCTAAACTCGCATTTTTCTCCACATGTGTGTGCACGTGTCATGGATCGATTTGCCCACCTGTGAGCTACCTGTGGATGTAATGCAGTGTTGATACAAACAAAGGGCCCCAGACGGAAGTCTTCAAAAGAAGAGTGAATGCGAGAAATGTTGAGAGGTTGAGAGCTGGCGGAAGGAGTCAAAGACAGCAGCTCGTACCCTTTTCAATTAGAGCTGATTGCCACGTCCATTTGCATGGCCACCAGCTAATGCACATATTGTTCTACAGTGAGAGGTATGTCCTACTGTGAAAGAAGTCAGCGTGTAATTGTGTGTGTGTTCTGTGGTGGAACTTTCCCAGTGGGACACAATGAAAGGAATGCAAAGTATTCTTTGAATGTTAATTAATAGGAAGCCAGAGAGTTGGTGCAACCAGATGCGAGGAGGAAGTTGAGAGGGGACACACTGAGCTCTTGAATTTCAAGAGTGTGTCTCTCTTCATATCCTCTTGTGTTCAGTGTACATTGCAACAAGGCATGCACCGATAGTTTCAAGTGTCCTATATACATAGTCTCTGCGGCAGTGCAGTGTTACCAGTGTACACAAAAGGCAGTTTCAATGCACTGCTGTACTTTCCCTGGGGGCAGTGCAGTGTAATGTGAAAAAATGCATTGTGTATTCATAGTTTCAAGTGAGCTGTTGTAACTGCAGAGCCCCTGGGGGCATTGCAGTGTAATTATACAACTCAGCCTATATACACTGTAACTAGGTAGTTAAGTAGCGAATGGTGTATGCTTTTACCGTTGTTTGAGGCTTTACATGTGTAGAACATGTACATAGTGGCCATGTATGAACAATTTAAATTCCTTGATGTACATTGAGCACATGAGGCGTATTGTGTCTTATTCTTCTGTACATCTAACTACATACGCATACTAAGTTACGAACAGTAATTTTTTGGCGAATCGATCACAAGCAAGTCTGTATGGCATGCTTGCAATGCTTGAAATGTCCATGTGAAGTTCACACATGCTAAATCTCCTGCGGCAGAAGAGATAATATTATGGTAGCTAAAAGGCATGCAAAAGTGGAGATAGGGTTGTTAAACTTTCATCAGTGCTGCACCTACCCCGAACATCTTATTACATCGGTCTGTATGGTGGCTTTTTCTTTTGTTTCGTTCTTGAATTCTATGAGAAAAATATTTAAACGCACAAAAAAGATTTTGCACAGTGTGTCAGAGTGTATACAAGCTTGCAAGAACAAAGAACAAATATTAGGTAATGCTTTTGCTGGAAATGATAAACGCTACTGTGCAGTATTCTAGACACTTTTGTTGATTGAAAGTGTACATACTTGGATGCAAGCCCAGACACGCTCACCCACCATATCTCAGAAAAAGTACTAAGTAATGTACACACAGTGGCTCGTGCAGGCACTTTTGTCCGTGGCTCATGACCATTTTTGCCCCGTCGTGGCCACTGCTGCTAATTTCTTTGGCATTCCGTGGCAATAAAATTCCTCAGATTCCAGCGTCTCTACCACAAAGAGTCGAGAGTGAAATTATTTAATGAGCAGCCGCAGATCTTGGCCGCTCGCCCTGCCTACCAGAGTTCCAATTTGGTTACGGCAAATTTCGCCCATTCTCTCATTCTTCTGGAATACGCATTATTGACTCCGGCATGTGGCAGGTATATAAGTGTGTGTAGCGTATGTATCCCTTTTGGGTTGAGGAGTCTGTTGTTTTTTAGGGTTGGGTCTGGTTTCTAGAGCGTTTATAATATGTGCTTCTGGCAGTACTTGAGTGTTGGTTGCAGTGAGGGAGCGAGTTTACTAACTCTGTATCAAATTGCGATTACTATGACCTTTCCTAACTGGGCCTAGCTACTTCATTGGCTGAGGTCATAAGTTGGAACATAATAACATTCGAGGCGGAAATATTAATTTTGAAGAATTAAAACTTTTGCTGCAAATGTATACACGGCACATCCAGGGAGCAAAAAAATGCGGCTGTGTATTTTAGAATGTAGTGACCTGAGTAGAATTGTCTATGGTACGTAAATATGAGCTCCTGGCATCATTAAGTCTTCAACGATTGTAGGCACCAGTGTGAAGATGAATGACACTCCCACCAGCTCCATGTTCATAGTCCCATATAAATCTCTTTGATACCACACACCTTGACAGGTGCTGAGTCAAGTGAGAAGCAAGTCTAAACTCACTCACTGAGAGGGACAGGACTTTGTATTGTCACAGAGCCCCTCACCTGAAAGACTCTCTCTCACATTGTGCAACAGAGGAGCCAGGGATGGCCACCTACTCATATTGCCACAGTCATGTGTCGACTTCCTGCAGGCCCATGCACAGACACAATCTTACGGTGTTGTCCCAGGTATTATGTACCTGCCCACACTGCTTACTCCAGGAGACTGCTTATATATAGCGCTGTACGCTGTAGTACCACTGGCCATAGACTGTGGCTAAAAATAATGAGTGAGTGAGTGAGTGAGTGAGTGAGCGAGTGAGTGAGTGAGTGAGTGAGTGAGTAATAAAGTGAGTGCTGAAAGTTTTCAAGGTTCTTGAGCACTGCGACGTATTCAGGAACATGATGTGTGTGTATATACCATTTAGCAAAGCATGAGAAAAGCATGGACCTGTGCCAAAAACACACAAACACTCACTAATCCCGACAGTTTGTCTATTATCTCTGGAAGAATGCACGCAAACGTGCACACAACCCTTTCATCTGTGTAGAAAGGGCGTAAAGTGTGATGACTTGACAGTTGTACTGGTTGGTTGATCTTTCGTTTCACCAGGCTCGGTTTGGTAGGGAGGGGAATGGTGAGGGGAGTTATTGTCTTTTGGGCATAAATTGTTCTTCGTTTCTTTCAGATAGTGGGTCACATGTTGTTTTCACTCACACACGTCGTCACACATGTACATCTGTTTGTGCAGATGCGACTCCCCGACATGGAGCTGGTGGTAAACCTGGGGGACTGGCCTCTCGACAAGGCGGCCAGAATGCCTCTGTTCCCCGTGTTCTCCTGGTGTGGGTCCCCCGACACGCGAGACATCATCTGGCCCACCTGGGACATCATGAAATCCACTGTCATGGGCCTCGAGAGGTCAGTGCTCCTCATTAAAAGGTTTTAAGGACATTGGTGTGCTGTGGGAGGAAAATTGGTAGTTTTGTGGTCTGACGAAAAACATTACAAAAGGAGAATGGTACAATTTTCCTTGTTCAGGGTTAATAATGTACTCTTATGTTACACACCAAAAAATGGTGACAGAGAGCATCGATAATGTTGAGAAGCACATTACTGGTGCAAAAAAGGATAACTGAATGTTATCAACTTGCCCATGGGTTTTTAAGCAAACAATAATTCCGAATTGTTGAAAACAGCCGCACATCTCTCCAGAAAAAAAGATAAATGAATGTTATGCAACGTTTCAACTTGTCCATGGATTTTTAAGGCAAAAAATAAATCTGAATGTTTGGAAAAAAACAACCCGCGTTTCTCCAGAAAAAAGATAACTTGCTAATGGATTTTTTGGGCAAAAACTAAATCAAAATGGTTGAAAAAAACTGCCCTAAATCTCTGCAGAAAAAAGTAACTTAACTGTTGTGCACAACTTCAACTACTCTATGGATTTTTTGGGCAAAAATAATTCCAAATGGTTGGGAAAAAATGCCACCACATCTCTCCAGACAGACGTCTATGGACGCAGTGCAATGCCAAACTGTACGCTGTCCTTTGAGATGTATGTGGCGGTGGCGTGGGTCAATGGTAGATTCGTGGGTAAGGGGAGGAACCAGAGCTGTTCCCAGCCAATGCTCTGGACCACCTGACAGTTTCAGTGCGGTCCGGGATTCGAACCGGGCACCTATGTGACAGTCCCCACGTCTCTAACCACTTAGCCACTTGGGCTGGCCACGAGAGCTGATGAAAAAACGTTCCTCTTATATCAACACTCACATTACATCATTATAAAAAAACACCCCAAACCCGGGATCGAACCACTGACCTCACGATCTAGAGTGTGAGTCCTTATCCTTCAGACCACACCCAATACTTGAGAGAGGGCAGGTTAATAGACTTCACTTAAGTGTAAACCCTCCGCGCAAACAACCCATGTGCATGCTTGTACCGCTGAAAGATAGGATGGGCTACTTAACATTGTCAATACCCCACTAGTTGGTATCGAGACACCATGCTGGACTCAATATACGCCCTAGTTGTGACTTAATTGGTGTGCAAGGTCTCAGAGTGATAATGCATATTGGATTTTTCATGGCAAATCTCTTTAATGCAGTCATTTCAGAAAATTTTATGTTTCACGCACTGGTAGCTCTAAAGTTGTTGCTATTACTTATAGGCGTGGCTTAAATCTCATTTCCAGTCTTCTTTGTGTGTTCAACGGCCCCAGCATAATGGTTACTGTGAGGATCCGATTTGAAAAAGGCAATCTGCAAAGTGTACCTCTTTTCAATCAAAGTCCGTGTTGTGTCCAATCATAATTGCTGTGTTTGCCTTGTGACCAGCAGAGTGTGTTTTGACTGGGTTGAGCATTTGTCCACTTGTGCGATAAGAGCTCCAATACAGCAGCAATTGTAATGCAATTTGTTTGGCATTATAACTCCCTCCTGAGCAAGGTCCTGCTATATACCCCATGTTCTCTCTCTCCCACCTCCAGAGTGTCCCTGACGACACTGTCAGTCCAGAAGACTCGGGGAGAGGCCTGGGAGACGAGAGAGCCGCGAGCCTTTTTCAGGGGCAGAGACAGCAATCGAGAGAGGCTGGACCTCGTGAGACTCCACAGGAACGAGACGGAGCTGTTTGACGTGGCGCTCACCAACTGGTTCTTCTTCACCAAGGAGTACAGTGAGGAGGTGTACGGCCCAAAGGCCAAGCACGTCTCATTTCACGACTTCTTCAAGGTAATGCGTATGGGAGCAAGCTGTTATACGTTGGTCTCTATGAGCTCTTAAACTGGGTGTAATAGTGTGTCATTTATCCTGGTGACTATCTATCAGATTAAAGAGGAAAACCCTAGTCATAGCTTGTCTCAAACATGTAATGTGAGACATGAGCGCTCTGAACTATAGGCCTTTTCCTCATCTCCTTTTGCCTTCGTTCATCCCTCTTCCCCATTTCCTCTCTAAAAATCAGGGGACTTTCACTGAAATTGGGAGTGTTTGATTTGATTCTCTCTCCCTTCCCTCTGTCACTTCTCGCTCCTCTTCTTCCCCATCATCAGTCACAGTACCAGATCAACATAGACGGCACCGTGTGTGTGCCGCCGACATATTCTCCTACCTATGGGCGGGGGCTCCCCTCTTCTCAAGCAGGACTCTGCGGTCCTACGAGCACTCTAACCACCGCTCTAAAACCTTTCTACCGCCACCGGCTCCTGACCCTGGTTCCACTATTCCCATCAGAGAGATCTCAGCGACAATTGTTGAGAGATTGCAGTGGGCACTGATCACGATGATGAGGTATGATACCTACGTACGTCGCTACCATATTGCAGGACACTTTACGAGGGATCAAACCGTCGCATTTTGGTTGCAGCGAAGTGAATTCACTGCTTGAGAAGCCTTTGTGGACTGCTGTCGCAAAACATAATTAGGTCCCCACTCCCACGACGGCTCATAACGCATGAAAAATCGTGACAGTATTCTCCCTTGAAGGTTCAGAACTCCATACAGATTAGGTTCTCCGTGGTTTCTGCACTATTAGAGCATCGGTAGACGCTCTATATTATAGTGATGGCACGGGTGGTATTCTGCACTATAAATAATCAATTAAATACACGAACCGAAAGGCAAGCTAATAAACCATCCTGACTTTGACTATAGCTGGAGAGTGCAGTGCAATAGATCCTCAATAGTTACGGTTTGAAAATGGTAGAGATCCTCATAGGTGCTGTTGATAATGTACAAAGATTTAGGCCACCTTATCACATATACATACCAAATCTAGTTCATTGACGTGGCTTGCTGCTGCACTCTCCAGCTAATGTCAAGGTATTCAGGGTGGTTTGTTAGCCTGTCTTTCCGTTTGTGTACTCACTAAAAGTACGAAAAATCTAGGCACTTTACCAAAAAATTTAGGTCATCCCAATTTTTAACAGTAACAATTGAGGATGGATTGTGCTGCACTCTCCAGCTATAGTCAAGGTATCAGATGGTTTGTTAGCCTGTCTTTTCCGTTTGTGTACTCACTAAAAGTACAAAAAATCTAGGCACTTTACCACAAAATTTAGGCCTCCCAATTTTTAACAGTAACTATTGAGGGTGCTTGCACTGCACTCTCATCTATAGTCAAGGTATTCAGGATGGTTTGATAGCCTACCTTTTCGTTTGTGCACTCAATTCAGAACCGTATTTTTTGTCTCTGATATTGCTACACAACATTGTGAAAATTTGAGGGCCCATCTACCATGTTTTCTGTCACTCCACCATGCAACTAAATACATTGGTTGGTGAATTTATCTTAGTGGTGTGTGTGTCCAGAATACGTGCTAGTGTTTGCTGCAGGCAAGAGCGATGCCGGCAATGCCTACCATTATTCCCCACGACAACCTACTGCCAGAGCTCTCTACTGCTACAGATAGCCAGACTCCTCAGCCACTACTCAGAGCTGATAGTCGGGACAACCGGCTGTCCATCCAGGGATGGAGTCCGTCGTCCCTGATACACCTCAGACTGCTCCACAACCTGCCAGAGGTAGTTACGTGTATATATATATGCAGATTTCCGTTCACATTGTTTTCAGATTCCTGTATGAGATTGTTGGATGATGGTATATTATTCCTCCTCCCTCACCCCCCTCAGTTGAGGTCCACCAGACGGCATGCACAGGGGGACAGAGATGAACTCTAGCAGGACACAAACCAAGTGATATATACTCATCTGTCAACAAAACTGCATATTTTTTCTCACTTATCTGGTGACTGCAAAAATCATTTGTGGAATAGGAATAAAAAGCCAAGTAAACTGAAAGTTCGATATAAAAGTGAGGAGTTTCTTGGCTACTTGGTTCTGCTCCAACCGTATTTCTGGACCATTCTCTCAAAGGCAGACCTGCCTCACCCTCGTGTACTCGTTGTCTGGATTTGACGCCAGCCTGCCCGTGGGTCAGACATTATCTCTGCACCTCACCTGACCAGGATACCCTCAGTGTCATGGTGGACAGCCAGCAGAGCGTGTGAGCAGCTCCATACAGATACTGCCTCCCACTGTCACATGACTAGCATGGCACAGGACCAAGTCATGTGATCTAGCATGGCAACGGGGACTTAGTCATGTGTCTAGCATAGCAACAAACATTTGGTGACTTACGTATTTTACCAATGCGACATCTGACCTTGCATGCTGCCACTTGCAAGACACATTTTTTTTATACCCACATACATAAGTGAGCTAGAAATCTTTGAGACAGTAGTAAGTGTGCAGTTGTGACTTTCGTGGAATGTGACTTACTTCGACAATGGACAGAACCTGATTAGCCGTCACAACCCATCTGTATAATGATTATACCTGTAAGGAACTGGAATCGCGGTTCGGACGATCCTACAAATGTGGACACATGGGTCGTCAGTGAAACTTCATCTCAGTTGTAGCACTGGACTGTGGCAGGTGTATAGCAGGTAGCAAGGACGGGGTTAGCGAGTTAGGGGTTAAGAATGACCTACTGATAGGGTGGTGGGTTAGGGGTTAAATGAAGACTACTGATATGGTGGGGGGTTAGTAAGATACCTGAGTGATAGGGTGGCGGGTAGGGGTTAAAGATGTACTATGATAGGGTGGCGGTTGGAGGGTATTGAAGATTACCCATTCTGAATGAAAAAAGCACTAAAGTGCAAACCCTCGGCGAACTGTGCATGCGCGGTACGCTGGGCTGGCATAGCATGCGTTTATCGTTGTATCCCACTAGTGCTCTAAACACAGCAACGATCAGAGAAACGTGATGAAATGAATACACACCACCCAAGACACTTCATCTTGAACGGCGTGAAAAAACAGGGGCGGGGGAGACATGGCGAAACCCGGTGGAGATTTTGGATTCTGCACTGCCCCCAATTATAGATCACAAATCTTATGCATCAACTGTTTACACAAACACCGCTATAATTATAACCACAACGGGACATACGTACATGGCAAAATATAATAGGCACACAGAAAAACCTTACCTTTTCTCTTGTTAAGTGGTGCGTGAAGGAATGGAGGTCTTTATAGAGCAGAGGTCTTGCTGTCAAAAATCACTCAAAACTCCAGTACAGATGGAGAAGATTGTCACCTCGAGGACCCTCCCGTGATCCAAACCTTCCTTTACTTATGGAGAGATTTGAGGTATGAAGGAGGGAGAGGAGGAGGGAGATTTGAAAGGGGGCATGGGAGAGACGTCGAGAAAGCGCGGCCAGGGAAAGACTGGCTATAAGTGTGGGAAAACACTGGGAAAACAGGATAACTTGGCAAATCAGGAATGGAATATACATCAGTGTAATCATGCCTGTGTTGATTGCGCACTGCAAAATAAACTAGTAGAAATACATAGCTCTTATAGACAACGCAGCAGTATCAAATAGTATGTTGAAAAAGTAGCTCATCTTTGAACACGGTATCGAGTTGAGTGAATATAGCAGGAGATAATCACAGGAGATAAGTCTGTGGACAAGCGATGGCGGAGCCATGGCCAGGAAAAATCATCAGCACGTACACCGACTTCTCTCCACATATAGGAAGGATTACACAGCCAAAGAACGGAAAACCCAGTGATGAACGGATGTATACATTTCTTCATCTTGCTATTTACTTAGCTACGGTACAGAATCAGAGATGATCACTGTTTGTTTCTCAGAAGGGGTTCAGGATCAAATCTGGTTTCCAGTCATAGTCATATGTCCTCTTCGAATAGCTCTTCTCAATCTACAGCCTCGCCTCCTCTCCTATGAACTGCCTCCCTCAGTCTGGGAAGTTTATGTGCTGAGTTCTTTGAACATGTCCGGCCGTAGGAGCTTATCCAGAATGGAGAGAGAGAGAGTACATGTGGTAACAGAAGATTCGTGTATGGTGGACAATTACATTATGGATCATCTTTCACCAAGGGTCAGTGCGATACTGAGGTTGAAGAGGTTACGGGTTTTCTTGTCTGGGTACACGGAGCATGCTGACCAGGTGTATGTGGTTCGCCCAATGTGACAATCAAATTTGGGCTTTGCCATAGTGACAATCACATACCCTAGCTATAGCTGCAAGCCTCAGTAACTCTCGCTTTGGCTGAGACATGTATTAAGGCTCTCGGACAAGGCGGAACACACGACTCGCCGGCTTCGATCCATCCATCGTGCACTAGAAGACTCGATCACTAACTAGGCGGCCGGGTCAGCTAGTAAATTCATACCCATCATTCCAGGGTTTAGGCGGTAGTCAAGTGAAAAGAACGTGAGGTGCTCAAAGTCGATTCTGCGCGCTTCCCCGGGCGGTCGCCAGCCTGAACCAGCTTCCAGTCTTGACCACTCAGGCGTGACTTTTCCACGCACTCTGCCCCTTTTGGCCCAGACCTCGGTCGCCCCGAGGGAGAGGGGAATTCCCCAATGACGTCCTAATAGTGACGATGGGTGTATTCTTGAACGAGT